AATTTGTAACAAATGTGTGGTTATTTTTCTAGAATATTCTTTCTAACTATGTGCGTTGTAAGTTGTAACTACCTCTTAATATAAACTTCCTTATTATTTGCAAATAGGGCCGGATACTTTGGAAAAAATTATAAATTTAAAAAATAAAATAAATTGAAAACTTATATATATTAGGATCAAAATAAATCTCTTATATAGTTTTTATATTTAAGATCGAAGGTAGTAATTGTTTTATTTTTGAGAACAAAATTTTGGTATATGTATTATAAGAAGAAAGGTCACTGCTAAATTTTTTGGAATATAGATCTGTAATGTTGGATATATGGTTTTTGAAATTTTTGATATGGGTTACCTTGTTTGGTGTAATGAAAGTGATAGCGAATATGGTTTCTTTATCAGATGACAAATGTGGGATGACCTTTCTCTCACGACAAAGCTAAGTTGGTTTCTATTATTTGGGATGCTAAACAGAAATGGATTCATTGTGCCGCTTTTCTTCATCAATGAAAGGTCCAATTCATGTACATGCTGGTTTTGGACCATGTAATACTATGTCTTCCCAAGTTTATGCTGTTGGGTGTGTGTATTGTTGTCAGTTTGATTATTATAAAACACTCTCTCCGGCCCTTTATATAAGATAGTCTTTTTAAGGGATGATTCCTTTCCCTTCTTTCTTTTTCGCCTTAGCAGGATGACCCGTTTTCATTTATAAGAGACAGTAATAGTATATATGAACCTTTCGATATAATTTTTCATTTTCCCCTATTAATTATTTGATGCAGGACGGGAGATGAAAGAGAGAAGAGGGAGAATAGAGAAAAGGAAGTGAGATAGAGAGAAGGAAGAGAAGAGAGAGAAGAGGAGAGGGGGCCAAAAAATATCAATTCTTATGCAATTATTAAAGATGAGTACAACGAGTAACCTAAGTCCTTTTTATAAAGTTTTTAGAAATGTAAAATAGTAATAAAATTTTAAATCAACTCGTACTTATAATCAAAGACAATGAAGATAAATGAAAAATATTAAAAGACAATTAATGTAATAAATCTCAATTTTAATGGATACATATTCTTATGCAGATCTCTAACGGATTACTCTAAATATCTAATTAAATCCTAATTACGTCATATTCCATATTCCATCATCATTACTCTGACTGTATATTAATTATCTGCATTTTTTCACTCTTTCTATAAATAAAGCCATTTTTAAAAAATAAGTTATGTTTTTTACATATTTATTTGCTTTATCCTTGACTTCAGCTGGGTTAATCCAATACTTTCTGGTTAAAAGTTAACACATCTTGTGATATCTCATGTCCAAATTGTCTAATGATGTTCTCAATTTAGAATTGGGGCTACCAAATAATCTGAAATTCAAAGAATATTAGGCTTAAATGGGAGAATTTTTGTTTTAAATTTGTGAAGTTAGAACTTTTGACCTTATTTTAGGTATATCAAGTCCATTTCATTTAATTCTACCATTATTGTTTTAAAATCCTACATTGCATAATTAATTCACTAAGGATGCGTAGGGACCTAGATCTTTAAATGAGTGTAACTTATTTTTAGTTGTGTATGACATATCTTCAATTATACGTAAATGTTTTCTATTTTGCACATAGTTAAAAGATAAGTTACACGCATATAAAGAAAGGCTGCACCTACTAAAGATAAGTTTTTATTGAGTCTCAAAACAAATTTCAGGTACTTTTGAGGAAATAAATTTTATAGCGAGAGATTTTTCAACAATTTTTTTCTTTAAAAAACCACACCAATTAGTTCAAGTGATTTTTTTAATTTTAACTAGAGGGGTAATCCAAACTCTCAAAATTCCAAATAATTTGTCCGTTTAGAAAGTGAAAGAATCCTATAAACCAGAAAGTTATCAGAAATCTTTAAATTTGAATACTTTGTTTTATATACTCTGACCATAGGCAAAAAAGGTGAATTGCTCCTTAAAATTTCCTTCCATGCGGCTACGATGGAAAAAAGTTAGAAAAAGTTGAAATGACTGGATTGGTCTGAGGCCCATTTTAGAAAACTAATGAATCAGTTGTAAAGATTTCTTTACAATAAAACAGGACAGCTCAACAAATAAATTAGAAAAACTGAACATAAAAGACAGTCAAAGAAAGAGAGACTTGCAAGAGGAGTTCGCAAAGACATATTTATCTTATTCTGCATTTTGCTTTCAAAATTAAAAAAAATTAAACATAAAGTTAGAAAATAAAAATAACAATTCGTAAACCTTTTTAAATTTAAATAAAGTTTAGACAGCCCAAATCAACGGTGGCTGAGACAATTAAGTGATACAAAAGGGTTGGACTTTGTCTTTTTTTCCCCTCCCAAATGCTTGTCTCCATCATGTTATACCTTCTAGCAACATATTTATTAGATGTCAAGGTGTGTAGTCAAAAATTACTCAATATTCGCCTACATGATGATTCTGAATATAATACTCTTTCACTCCTTATTATCAGCTTCAAATAACTAATTTATAGATCATGAATCATCAATTAAAATTAGTTGAAAATAATAAATAAGTTAAAAATATAGTTTTGTTTCCAAATATGTGCTCTTCGATAAATGAGAAAAATGGTGAAGGAGAATATATAAGGAAATATGCTAAGAGAAAGTATGATAAAGGAGAGAGAATAAATAATTAAGGATAAAATCAGAAAAAATACATTAAATATTAAGATAAATTCTAAATTGAAACTTATTAAAAGGACCATATGCTCCCCAGATTTGAAGCTTATAAACAGGACAAGAGGGAATATTATGGTATCCGTCATGCTTCATAAAAGAACTAGATATCTAATTTGGAAATATTAAAAAAATTAGTTAAATTAGTTATTTGTAATAAATGTATTTTGACTTTCTTAAATTATCTTAGTTATAAGTAATTATATGCATTCGAACTACACTTTGATGAGAACCCTTACAATTAAGAATTAAAAGATATATTTTAGGAAAAAATTATAACTAAAAAAAATAAATTAAGATTTTATATTCAGGTACTAGGTCCAACCTCCAACAGCCCCATTGGCTTTTAGAGCAATTACAGGAGGTAGTACAGTGAATAATCTACCAATACTATTTAACGTATCTCAAGAAGTTGATCGTTGTTAATCATTTCATTAGTTTGTCTTCTTATTACAAGTTTATTGTTAGTGATAATTTTTAGCTAATTAAACTTAATTATTATTAAATAAACATTTCTCTGTCTTTCATAGATATATTCAAAACCTAATAAACATGATCTAATCTGCCGCACCTAATTTTACAGAGCAACACGTAATTAATTAATTGATTATGTCTTGTCGTTTCAGATCAATTAGATGAAAACTACCTCAGGAAAAAAAGTCGAACCTTATTAAGCCACGAATGCCTAAAGAAAATAGTGATTTTTAATATAACTAATGACAATTATAATTACGTGTCAAAGTTTAGTTTCTTCAATTGAAGAGGTTTCTTTGGAGTGACATGTTTAAGACTTGTTATTTACATTAATTGTTATCACCACAAATCCTTGATATGTATGTATGCATCTAGAAATTTTGATGAAGAAGAGTGAACAAGAAGATACTCACAATTATTAAATGTATGAGATTATGATATGTCCAATTTTTTTTTTTGTTTGCCAACGAAGATGATATGTCCAATTTCATTATAATTACCTAATAGCAATTTTATATAAATTAATTAGTTTAAATTAGTTATTCCTCATAGAATATTCAAGTTATTCTAAACAAACGACATTAATTAAAGAAGTTTAGTTAGTTAGAAAGTTTTATGATTAGTTAGGAATAATAAGCGGAGAAAACAAATTCTTAAAACAAAACATGTTATATCGTATAGGATTATGAAACATGTTGTAGGTCCTTATAATTAGGATGGAGAGTATTATGTATATGAATCTTAAAAAAATCATATCATACTTTTATTTGGGAACTTATATCAATAAGCTGTTGAATAAACCTCAACCAAATTTTATCTTATAATAAAACAACCGAATAATTAACAATCTTAAGTCTCACAGATTAGAGATGTCTAGCCACACTCTGAATTTAAGACAACGTTCTATTGACCACTATAATAATTAAAATAGGGGGGGGGGAACGAGAGGAGCTTAAAGTAATTATCAAAATCCCCCAAGTTAAATTAATACTCCTCCGGTCCTTAATATAAGACCTATTTAACTAATTTGATTAGATTAAAGAAGTTAGGTAAGTTAGTTAATTATAAGAAATGTGACATGTTTTTCCTAAAATACCATAATCATCTTTCTTAATACCCCTTCTTCCTTTTCTACTTGATTATGGTTGAGAGAGTATTTATAGGGGTAATTTAGAGAAAATTGATAAATATAAGAAATGGGTATTATATTTAGGATCAAAATCAACTCAATAATTAGGTCCTATATTAAGAACCAGAAGAGTAGTTTACAATAACTAAAATTAGTAATCTTCGTGTTATCTTTTTTTAAAAAAATAATACAAATATTTTCCATCACCAAAATCCTGCATTTGCATCAAACTAGTATTGAAATTATCCACATGAATAGGGTCTAATTAAAAAGATTAATCTCTTACAACAACACGAATCAAAAATCATATATCTAACACTCGATGTATAGTTTATCAAATAGATCTCTATGAGTTTATCAAGTAGACCTCTATAAGTTATGATTAAATTTGTCCCATTAACACATGTAGCCCCTGGTTGTTCAAGTAGATTCCCGGGAAAACAGTGCAGGACAATGCACGTGTAGCCAAGAGAGAGAAAGAGAATGAGAATGAGAGGGACTGTTCAAGTGTTGAATTAGGGAACTTCTATCCCTTTTACTCTTCAGATGACGGAAAGAACGTACATAATTTTCCCGAGAAAACAAACATTCTTCCCTTCTTAAGCGTTTTAATCTCACAGAAAATATATTTATCCAAGTTGACCAAACTATATACCCTCCTCCTAATTCTCTTTCTCCAACCCAAACCCTCCTTCCTCAATCAATCACTTTATCCTTCTCCCTGTTCTTTTCAACTGTTTCTCTCTCTTTCTCTCTCTATCGCAATTTTCTCAAATTAAGCTAAAAGGAGAAGAAGAAGCAGACCAATTATTTCCTTAGAATTCATATATTTTGAATCACCCAAAGCTTAAAAGTATCAGATATCATGGAAGGAGAGAGAGGCGTTCCGAATTATGAACTTCAGGTTTCGTTCACAAACCCTCATCCTCATCATCAAGCCATCCACGAAATGGGTTTCGTTCAATTCGAAGAGAATCAAGTCCTCAGCTTTTTGGCTCCTTCTGCTCAGTCTCAATCTTCTTCCTGTGGCGGCGGAGGCGGTAGCAACACGGCGGCCCCGTCCGCAGCACCGGCCACTAACGGAGCCGCCGGTACAGTAGCAAGTTCCGTTGGGTTTAGCCATAATGACCTTGTTACTACCAGAACTCCATGGAACAACAGCGACCAGGTTGTTTATTTCAGATCATTATTATCTGCAAATCCCACATCAGAGTTATGAGTTTCTTCCAGTTCTAATTACTTCAACACCGGATAACTATTCAATCCATGATTCTAGGGTAATTTTGTTTGTGAATTTTTCTTATGTATATATGTATTTGGCACTACAAACTTTTTAGGTGGGAACTCTGGATCCCAAGGCTGTCAATGATGAAAACTGCACTGGAAATGCTAGTGACGGCAACAATACATGGTATGATTATATATATATATATATATAGCCTCTATCGATTCTGCTTGGTTTCTTTGTTTCCTTTTTACTGAAATATCAATCCCTTTTCTGATTCTTTGGCTTATTATTATTCTATTTCACTTTCTGAGTGAAGAAGACATGCACGTAAATAGCTATTTAGGAACCCAAGAAGATATTCCTTTAGGCTTCTGCGAAGAATCTAAAGGTCTCATCGCCCTTCTCTATGGATTTATGGAAGCAGAGACCATAGAGTCTGCTTCTTTTGCTTTTTCGTACGCCAAGTTATCATTAACTCTCTCTCTACTCTCTCACTTAATTTCTGCCTTGGGGTTGTGAGAAGAACAAGAGGTTGGGACTTGAAAGTCTTGATCTTCATCGATTCTCGAATCCACTACCCTATCACTCTCCACCAACAATAATCTTCCTTCAGGGACTACTCCCGCATCTTCCAGTTAAATATATATATATATATATATCACTTTTCCATTTCCAGTTATGTAAATTCCATATCTTTCAAGTAAGATATTAACTTCACATTAGTGAATGAAAAAAATTATGTCTGGTAATCATAATTACAAGATAATTTAGGGTTTTCATCAATATATATAGATTTATGAACTGATGATGACAGTCTTGTTGAAGGATGGTGGTAGTTCTGGATATTATTGGTAGTCTTGGAAGGACTTAATCATATATATATATATATATATATTCTTGTGTGTGTGTGCGCGCGCGTGTGTGTTGAGAGATGATTTATATTTAATTACATATATATTTGTTGTGTGATAATGTTAGGTGGAGGAATACAGCATCAGAGAAAAACAAAGTGAAGGTGAGGAGGAAGCTGAGAGAGCCAAGGTTTTGTTTCCAAACAAGAAGTGATGTGGATGTGCTTGATGATGGCTACAAATGGAGGAAGTATGGCCAGAAAGTTGTCAAAAATAGCCTTCATCCAAGGTAATTACATTTTAATTTTTTTTTGTAAAATAGATTTTTAGTTCGCCCTCTTTTTGTTTACTTAATTTGTGCTGTTTCTCTAATATATCTATAAGGAAAATACTTAGATCAAGTTTATTATAATCTTTACATCAAGTTTCTTACAATCATTATGTTAAGTTTTTTAATCACACATAGTCACGTGCCCTATTTCTTTTCATATGGGTTTAGGGTTAAGCGATAATATAGAAAAAATAGACACATGGCAAAATACATAGGAGAACTGGACATAATTGTTATAAGAAACATGACCTAAGGTTGGTCCTATTTATAATAACCTTGTTGTGCTTTCGTTCCCAATTTATGGCATTCACAAAAGTGAGTGCATGCAGTATTATTTGGAGATTAGGACATAAGTATTGCATGAATGTAGAGAATCCAATTTTGTCTTCCTTGATTTAGAAAGATCAGTAGAGAAATGGTTTAATTAATCAATATATCCTTTTGTTAATTATGGATATATTGGAGTATTTTTGGTTCTTTATATTGTTTTAAAGCTTCGGTTTTCAGAAATTGCATTTTGTGCTACTTTGGTGGGGAGGTTTTTAACAATCATGTTACTGTCAAATATCCATAGAACTTTACCAATTAACCAGTACTTGAGCTAAGTAAACAGATTAAGCAAACCTTTAACTATATTAGTAAAAAGCATGGAAAATATAAATTAAGATCAGAAAATTCTGAAAAAGTCACTGTTTAATTAAGTAATTATCAGATAATTAATTTTTTTTGTTTTAATTTTTCTACTTCTGGCGTGTAATAGTGTCACCATCAAATTATTTTTAAAAGAACTATTGAGTGCAATAGCTACATCATAGGCAATATCACCGGGGAAACAAGGTAACATGTCTCTTTTGGAAATAACGTATGTGACGATAGTGAATAATTCTGCATTATTGCACAATATTTTCAGAAATAATTTTTCTTATATCTAGGCTTAATTTAAATTAAAAGATTAATATAAAATTTAACGACTCCCTTAAATGATGGGTTCTGCTCTCACAATCTTTATAAGTTTTAAAGCTTTATAATAAACTCCTTATTAGTTCTTTTTACTAATAAAATGTAATATTTTAGGGGACTTAATTAGTTTTATATGACTGAGATAAATGATAAAGACTTCAGAAAATTATTTGTGCAAATATAATAATTTGAGAATTTATTATCGAATTAGATAGTGAGGCCAGTGGTTTGCATCTATATATAATTGTACATAACAAGTTTTATTGTTGGGTAAAGGTACATCAAATAACTTATTTTCCAAATGCATTACCCTGATCTATTTGCTAGTGTATCTAATACCTGATATTATTTTTTTATGCATCTATGATTTTAATCTCATTTTTAGTGTATCCAATATCTTAAAAATTAGAGTTCTAGATGTAATTTTAAAAAATAATATTGGGGTGCTAAATGCCCTAGAAAAATAAGATCAGAATGATGGATATACTATATAAAAATAAGGATATTAGAAGTATTTAAAAAATAAGATAAGGTGCACATTCACCCTTATTATTATTCAATAGTTTTGAACGTTTAGCTTTCTGTAAAGTTAATAGAAAAATCAAAAACATTTTAAAAACAAAATTTTTTTTTACAAAATTTAAATATTTTTACGTAATGTAACTTAAAAATTAATAAAGGCGGAGACAGGGATAGAAAGAGAGAGAATCTCCAGCGTACAGAATGATACTGTTGAAGAGAAGGGTTGATGGAACAGAATGAGCTAGCATGAATTGGTTTTATTTATGATTAGTTTTCAGACGAATTATTGGTAGAGATAAAAAATATATATAAATGAAAAATAATATTTGGTGTATGAATATAATGATTATTATTTTGACAATAGGACACATTATAGGGTCCCCTAAGAGTCCTCAATTTCAATGACAAGTGAAGTCCTTCCACACATTTATACCCTTCACTGAAAAAAGCTGCGCCTTCCCATAAAGTTTTCTATGCAACTCAAGTGTATGTGTGTAGACATCTCTAGAAGTATTTCTATGAGGTGAAATTTAAATTTTCAAATATAAAATGTGTATCCAAAAATAAATCAGAAACAATAAATTTTTAAGGTTACTGGAGATTTTTACCTAGACTATCACATTTGGTCCTATTATTTTCAGGAAATGCACTGTCATGATGAGGTAATTAGTAAAATTCGATTTATTTTCTACATAAGCGCACTATAAATATATTAATTGTATGTTGAGCTAGGCTTTTTGTTATTTTTATAGTGCATATTGCATAATATATTTTGGCAAATAAATATTAGAAGCAAAGAGACAAACACTAAATATGTTCACATGAGGGCCAACAGATTTTTTTATAATATTTTTATGGTGCATAATGTATTTCGGTGAGATATTTTTACGAAATTTTCATTTAATCTGTACATCAATAAATCAAATAAAAAATTTTTCTCTGTAAAAGATTGTTGTTTGTGTGCTGCAAAGGAGCAAACTTCTTTTATATTTCATTTTAGAACAATTATTTTAAAAATTTTGGATTATTCCAAGGTACTTTTTCTTATATTTTAATTTCTACAAAATGAGATATCAAATAAGTTTTGAAAGAATAATTGTGCCATCATATTCAGATCATTTTCAAACGTACTCTATAAACATACTCAAATAAAAAAATGTTTCTTTGTATGACACTGGTTTTTGTCTCAGATTTATACGTATATATCATGAGATGCTTGTTATCTTTTGGCTTTCTAGTTATTTCTATTCTACACCGCCAGTATGTATGAGTTCAAATTTATTTGATGACTAATTTAGAAAATCTTGCATACGTGCTTAAGAAATATAATATAATAGGACTGAGATTGAAAGTCCACACTGAATTATGCATCAAACAATTCACCTAGGCCAGTGCAGGGGTCCTCTGCGCGCTCGCGCTCGCACACACCCACACATAAAGGAATTCTAATATTTGAGTATGTTTATAAAATACGTTTGAAAATGATCTGAATATGATGGTACAATTTTTATTCTTTCGAAAATTGTTTAATATCTCATTTTTGGTAGACATTAAAGTAAGAAAACGTACCTTGGAATAATCCAAAATTTTTAAATTGATTTTTATAAAATGAAATATAAAAGAAGTTTGCTCCTTTGAAGCAATAATATAGTGCCAGTGCAAATTCATGGATTTTGACTGGCAAAATTTAGTCTAAAGCTTTGGATTACATATATTATGTTTTTCAATTTTAATATTTTTCTTTGAACTTATGGACAATAAAAAAATCTTGTAATTGTGAAATTTAAAAATGACAATCACATTAAAATATGCTGTTGCATTGACAATAGCAGAGGATCTGCTTCCAAAATAATTGTACCAAAAGATTTTGCAGCTGTTTTCTTTCTTTTTGTTTTTGTTTTGGATGGAAAAGGAAATCTCTATCAATATCAAAACAAAGACATCAACATAAAAGTTTCAAGTAATTTTTGTAGCTGATTTCATTTGAAGAAGAAAAAGAAGACAAACAGGTTGGTTGTTTCACATACAACAAAGTATTCTACAAAGAAAAACTAAAGATTAATCAAATATATATAGAATGATGAAATCCTAAGTTACTTGCATCAAGTGAAACATAATAATTAACACATAGAAAAGGACAAAACATGCAAATTCTTTGGCCATATCTTCTTAATAAAACAACAACAGCATACACATTCATGCGTGCATGTAAAGGAAGGAAAAACCAATTAGGTTGAAGTGAGATATTAAATAGTATTAATGCATAAGAGACACTAATGTGAATATTGTCAAAGTGGCATATCATCAATTAAATCCTAAATGGGTTCAGATGTAAACCATCATTACAAGTTTGCACTTAAAGGTATGTACTTACTTAGATAAGCAGTGCAATTAGCTAGCTAGCTAACTAGGAAGATAGGGAAGTTATTGGATTAAATTAAATTAATTGCCTTTCAATGATGGGGTTCTTATTATATACAAGTTTCAGAAAATTATGACGGAATTTGAATGAGACCATAAAATGCACTTTTCATAACAACCGATTGTCATTATATGTGTGTGTGGGTACCAAACTGATATTGTTGATTCTATTAGTGAAAGTGAATTAACTTAGATTTTATGCTGAAGCTCTTATAAATTGTTTTTTCTTTATAAATTCTTAAAACATGAAAATAAATCATGTGACATTTGATAGTAACATTGGTCTTTTAATATAACAAAGGTTAATATCATTGTTGGTCGTGCGTATAGTTTTTTGAATTTGATTCCTATAGTTTCAAATCATGATTTTTGACCCCTATATATAGTTTGATTTCATAAGGTTCAAAACTGAACTGGTTAAAAGTAGATGGACCAAAAGCAGAACTCATATAGTCCTTATACTTTTAAAAGTTTTGGTTTTAGTCCCTATACTTTAATGGCATTTATTATAATAACCGACAATAATATTAATCAATGTAGTAACTACATTTATGATCTTTAAATATAGATATATAAGATACGAGTCTTAAGATACAAGTTGTGCGATGGATTTCATATCTGTATTTATTTACGTTTTTTGGATTATGAGAAGCCAATCGGCACAGGTTAAGAATTAGAAAATGTAGAAGGTGAAAATTCAATTCTTAATGCTTGTCGACATCTGATTTACTACACACACACACACACACACACAGAGTAGTTATGGTGAGCATCACTAATAATTAGAAAGAGTAACACCTAATGAAGACTTTAACAGTAGACATTTCTCCAAGAATGGCCATAAATAAATCTTTGCTTGAAAATTCTCATTTAAGTTTAATGTGTTTATTTAGACCAGTTTTGTTTTGATTGATGGATTGATGAAAATAACATTCATAAATTGGAGGAAATAATGAGTGCATGTACTTAATTTGATATATATATATATATATATATTATATTGTGCATTGCATACTTCCTGATCTGTACATAATATAAAGTTTTTTTAAAAAAAACTAATCTATTTATAGGTAAGATTTTGTGCAGAAGACCGACATCCAATTTAGTTACTTAAAACCTAACTCATTTCTTTACAGGTAAGCATATATATATATATATATATATATATATGGACACATACAAATAGAATGTTTAAGGCAGCATGCAAAATGAAACTTAAATACATAACCTTCTCTTTTTCTTTTCCCCTTTAATTTGTTCTACATGACAGAGATGCATCTAAATTGGGCCTATCTTTGTTGTCTTAAAATAACATTTACAATTGAAACACTAACTAGAAATCAATTATGAATATCAATAAAATACCCAATTTTTTTTTAAAGATGCCATAGTGTTTAGAAGCTATGGACATTATTTACAGCTCATTTGATATTCATGCAGATGCATATGGGGTCCTACTGAAGTTAAATGATCAAGTGTCTTTTGACTAAATTGAATTTCTAGACTGTACCCCAAAAAAATTGAATTTCTAGATTGTTTTTGTCATGATATAATTTTTGGGCATATTTTAATGTCATATAAATTTAATATGTGAGCATCTGAACAAATTCTTAACGTATATTATCTATTTTGTGCTGAAAAGGACCCATTTTTATGTCAGTGTTTTTTTATATAAATTTTAAATTAATTACTGGGATATATTACTTGTTATTAATTCTGACCCAAGAAAATCTTCATATTTTGGGGATATCACAGAAGCTACTACCGTTGCACCCATAGCAATTGCAGAGTGAAGAAGAGGGTTGAACGACTATCAGAGGATTGTCGTATGGTGATAACCACTTATGAAGGAAGGCACAACCACTCTCCTTGTGACGACTCAAATTCATCTGAACATGAATGCTTCACCTCTTTCTAATAGGTAATCCAATCAGAAAGCAACCAAGAAAAGGGTAAGAAAAGGAGAGGAAGAAGAAGAAGAAGAAAAACAAACGATTGTCGTTTTCATTGACATCAGCATGGTACATTAGTTTAATGGTGACAGTATCTTTTACTCATCATAGGCCATAGCAATCTATTTGAGGGATTTCCATGTACTTTATATTACTGATCGAGTGCATATCTTCTTTAAAGGTGTACTCTTATATATGTTATTTGTTAGAAAACGACTCTTTAATTTGCATGTGTATATGTGTTAATATATAACATGTTTTAGCTATATTAATTCTTGCCATAGTATTGTATATGCATCCAAATTTGGACGTTCTTTGATTTTATAAAGATATTTATGAGGTTCAAAAAAAAAAAATCAAAACGACATGGTGGTAGCTGAGTGCATGTCTATCTTTCTAACAATACACAAGAGATTATTGGTACTTGTGGAGCATCAAATATGAAGGAAATCTTCAGTCAACCTTCTTGGTTAGACTTCTGTGTGAAAATATGTAAATGACGAACTATATATTTGTTGATCTGAAATTTCTATCCATTATATTGCCTACGTCTATTTTTGGTTTTTTGTTTTTGTTTTGTTTTGATATGCCACAACATATTCACGTATATTTGATGCTTAAAATGTGATGGTTCAAGAGAAAATCATCAAATACGATGAGGTGAGATAGACCAAACCTATATTTTAAGGTTATTATATAAACCATCAATTATGTATCCAAAAATGAAAAAAAGAAGCCATCAATTATATTTAATAAATACTACTTCTGGTTCTTAATATCAGAGCTCATTTGACTTTTATTTTGGTCCTAATTATAAAATCACAATCCACTTTGTCTTTCATATTTATCCATATTTTTTGTCAAAATAGTCCTTGTAATAATTGTAGTTAGCAAGGATATTTTAGGAAAGACAACACCTATTTATTACAAGTAACTAACTTAACTAATTTTCTTAATCTACTCAAATTAGTCAACTAGCTCTTATATTAAGGACCGAGGTAGTACTTGACAGTTAATTGAAACAATTGTTAAATAGTGTTGTCATTTTTTTATTTTTAAGGGTTAAGGTATAAATTTACCCTAGATAAGTTTCACTTAAGAGCATTGGGCATCTTTGGTTTTAATATTGCCTCCAATCATTAAAAGTGTTAATGGTCAATGTGATAACCTCTTGAAATTCCCACTAATTCAACTTGTTTTAGCACTCTTTTATGGGTTTTGGAAGTTATTAGCACAGAATTTTCCTCTTAAAGTTAGAAAACATAATTTGTCAAAGTGAATTTTGATTTAGGCAAACCATTGGGAGATTTTTGGTGCAAGACTTCTATGGTCCTTTGTGTAGGAAGGTACAAGAGCTGAAAGAGGGTTACAAGGAGAAAGATTCAACTAAATCTCGGTGATCAGGGAAGGCCAAAGGCCCAGAGCAACCAAGGAAGAGAGACCAGAAGCAGAGAAGCTCAAAAAGGTACCAACCACCACAGCACATGGAGAAAACTGCTACGACGACTTTAACAGAGAAGAAGGATGCCATTTTGTGTGAGGTGCCGTGACGCCTAACCATATCCGCCATGGTGCCCAAGCTATCTCAAGAACTTGCTATTCAGTGTAATCCGCCGCGGCCTTTGCTCACATGCGTCGTGGTGCCAAGACCACTCCTTGGAAGCCCATTCTGGGTAACCCGCTGCGGCGTCTGGCCATATTCACTGCGGCGTCTGTCTCCTCGCAGCTGTGCATTTTGTGATGTAACTAAGAAATTAGGGCATATATGTGGGGAGACTCGTGGTTTTTGCATGTACTTCGACTTTGGGGCTCATTTGGAGGCTTGCTCTGCTAGGGTTTGGAGGTTTTGAAGCTTGGGAACATTGGGCTCAAAGTTACAAGAGATTGAAAGCTTCTTCCTTATTTTTTTTCTTGGTTTTCTTCTTCTCCTCTCCTTGTTTTTGTAATGGCTAGGAACTATTCTTATAGTTGTGGCTCTTTACTAAACATGTTAGCTAAAATAGTCATCCTAGGGTTATTTTGATCTATTGTATGGATTAAGACTTGGTTTAACTCTCTCTTTAGTGTTAATGATAATGTTTTGTTGTTTTTACCTTGAGCTTAATGCTTCCTTGTGACTGGCTATTATTTGGATTGATTAGTTGATTCGTTGAAACTTGACAAAGTTAAATTAATCTGTGAACTTTGGTAAAAATGTGCTAGTCTAAAAATTTATCTTATTAAATAGAAGGTTTATTGACAGAATAGAGATATATCAATTGACCTAGCAAAAAAAGGGGTTTTGGTTTTCAAAATGTAACCTTTCCAAACAAATGCAAGAGATTGGAATGTTTTATTGAGATTGCAAAAATTTGGTTTTTACTTGACAAAGCTTAATCAATTCTGTGAACCCTGGCTAACTAAACTTATTGTTACTACTACTTCAGAAGTGATTAATCAAGTTTTATGAAGTATTTTAGTGAGAAATAACCCTAGACCCTTATTTGTCTCAAAGTCAAGTTGAATTCACTTCGATTTACATCTTTGCTTTTCTAATCTCATTTCACAAACTCTTTTACAACCTTTGCTTCACTTAGCCTAATCAAGAACACAATTATGATTTTTAACTCATCTGGCCTTAGTCTCCAAGGGAACGATACTTTTTTTTTTTTATATTACTTGTGACCTGTCTACTTACAGTTAAGCTATTTGGTGGACAAGTTTTTGGCGCCGTTGTCGGGGACTAACAGCAAGATTGTTTGTGGTTGATTGTCCTTATTGTGTGATTGGTTACACTTAAGTTTTCTTTTAGCATTTGTAGTATTGTTGTAGGTAGAATAGTTGTATTTATTTTGTTCATTTCACTTGATAAGTTTGATACTCTTATTTTTTATTTGACTTCACAGGTACCTCCTGATGCATGAAAGGGAATTTGGAAGTTATTTTAGAAGAGGTTACTAAAGAAGGATCTAGTTTAGGAGAAACTAACAACACACCAGAGATTCAGCAACGACCTCGGCTACTTTTACCACCACCATTTGAACCAGAACCGCAAGATAACATGGCAGAATAGGATGACAATGATTTGTATACTCTGGATGACTATTTGGATAAGGAAGGGCAGACTTTCCATTCAAGTATTCTACTACCAGACATTCAAGCCAAAAACTTCAAAATCAAGCCAGTCACGATTCGATTACTGGGGATGATTAGTATTTTTGAAGGAAATTTCAATGATGATCCTAATAAGCACTTGACCAAGTTTGTAGAGGTATGTTAGAACTTCAAGCAAAATGGGGTTTTTAAAGATGCTTTGAGGTTGAGGTTGTTCCTTATGCCCCTATCTTACAAGGTAAAAGCATGGTTGAATACCTTACTGGAGCACTTGATTAAGACTTGAGATGAGCTTGTGGCAAAGTTCAAGGCCAGATTTACTCCAAGAGGTAAACGAGCTATACTAAAGGGTGAACTACTTTCCTTTGAATAGCATTTGGATGAGTTATTCTATGAGGCTTGGGAGAGATTCAAGGATATACGGAGAAATTGTCCGAATCACGAGTAGAAAAAATATTTCTAATGAGAGCTTTTTGGAATAGGTTGAATGATCAAACAGTGACTATGCTCAATATTGCTTCAAATGGTAGAATTGGAAAGATGAAAGTTAACAAGCTATATCAATTGTATGAAGAGATGGCGTCTAGGACTATGCAACAACATAATAAGAGCAGGCAAAGTTCTGAGAGATGTAAAGAGCCTAGTTCTTTATCATATAGAGATATTGCATCACAACTTAAAGCAATCTCCAAGAGGTTTGACAATTTGGAATTGCAAATCAAGAAGGGCAATACTATAGGAGTTCATGTACTTCAGGCTCCAAGGTATACTTGTGACCATTGTAATGAGGAACATCCTTCTGATCAGTGCCCTTACACTTTAGAGATAGTCAATTATATGAATAATATGCGGTGAAGGCCACGAGGAAGTCTTTATTCTCAAACCTACAATCCAAACTTGAGAAATCACCCAAATTTCTCATGGCGGAATGGACCGAGTTTGAATTCACCACAAATATTATCATTCGGCGCTAAACAAATAGGGCCTCTTGGTTTTTATGGCCAATCACAACACCAACCATAATAGCAGCTACTATAGAAGGAAGAATCCAAAATTGAGAAAATGTTTGCTCAGTTGTTGGCAAACCAAGAATCAGCAAAGGCTGAGAATAAAGCAACCTTCACACTCCATGAAACTGCCATCAAGAATCTTAAGTTTAGATGGGTCAACTGGGTTCACAAATGAATGCACTCACAAGAAATAGCCTTCCAAGTGACACTATTCCCAATCCAAAAAGGGATGGTAATGAAGAATGTAAAGTTGTTACTCTGAGAAGTGGAAAGCAACTACTCGATAGTCTGAAGTCTAGTAGAACCAACAAAGATATCACTAACAGTGTGGTGATTGACCTTGATAAAAATGAGCTTTTAGAAGGTGTTATACCAGAAGAGGAAGAGAGCAAGAAAAGGAAACAAACAGAAGAAAATATCAATGATGTGGTTAGAGGGAAGAATGTAGAGGGTGAAATGATTGATGATAAAAAAAGAAAGACAACTCTTCTTTCTTTCACACAAATACTGCCATTTCCCTTTCCTCAAAGGTTTAAGAAGAAGGATGAAGATGTCCAGTTTAAAAAATTTATGAACATGTTCAAGTAGTTGCACATTAACATCCTATTTGTTGAAGTATTAGAGCAGATGCCAAGTATGCTAAGTTTCTTAAGGATGTCTTGTCCAAGAAGAAGAGATTTGGTGAATTTGAAATAGTAGCCCTTATAGAAGATTGTAGTGCCATCCTTTAGAGAAAACTTCCACCCAAATTGAGAGTTCCAGGCAGTTTCTATATCCTATACAACATAGGCAAACATTTCAATGGAAAGGCTTTATGCGATTTGGGAGCAAGTGTCAATTTGATGCCTTTTGCTGTTTTCAATCAATTAAACTTGGGTGAAGCAAGGACAACTACTGTTATATTGCTATTTGCTAATAGAAGTATCTCACACCCTAAAGGGGTTATAGAAGATGTCTTGGTAAAGGTAGACAAATTCATATTTCCAGTTGACTTCATTATGTTGGAATGTGAGGTAGATTGGAACATTCCTATTATCTTAGGAAGATCATTCTTAGCTACTGTAAGAACTCTCATTGATGTGAAAAAAAGGTGAAATCACCATACGAGTAAATGATGAGAAGGTGATATTCAACATGAATAAGGCCTTGAAATTTCCAGATGATTCTCT